GGCACTTCTCCCTCATGCAGAAGAACTGAGACCCCTCCGGGGAATAAACCCAAAGAGTCCGGGAAACACCATGGGGTCCATCCCCCTGTTGGTAAGCCAGACTTAGACCCCCTCAAAAGGATGGGCAGAAATTCTGTTTTCTTGACCAAACAAAACCAACAGCTGAAAAATAAAACCCACCAACTAAAGAGGAGGTGCCTGGAAAATTCTAGTGGGAAGTCCCTGTATGTATCTACTCTCAGTCCTTCATGCTTCAGTTTCAGCCATTTCTTCTCATTCTGTTCTAGAGGATAGGAACAATGTCTCTTTTCACGCAGCCTGTCTCAGTTTCTCTTCTCAGCTCCAAAATAGCTCCCAGTTTGTTATCAGCAACCTTCGTTTCCAACTTTCTCACTCAGAAGCAGAAGGAGTTGAAACCGTAGATAATGATGAGCTCCAACCTGTCATTTCTTTCAACAAAAGCCAGGGAAAGGAGCAGGAAAGAGTGTCGTCCAAGGGTGCACAGCAAGCAGGCTCTGACTGCCGGTGCCAGCTCCAACGCACTGGGGAGAAGCCAGCTCTGCGCCTGCCCTGCTGTGCGCCTTAGGGCAAGCCGCGCCCCCTCTCTGGGCCTCAGTCTCCCCATCTGTGTACCAGGAGAGGCTGACCTTATTTCTGCAGTCAGTTCCAGTCCCTACCACTATCGGAGCTGCCCACCCTCACGCTGGCCCCTGCTCTACCTCCCTCCCCCTGCCAAAAAGAGGAAAAGAAACTTGCGTTGGGCGTCCGGGGAGGGCGCGAGGCTCAGAGTTGTCAGGCTGCGCGGGTTGTTGCCGGGTGAGCGAACCTCACACAAATCCCAGGACAGAGAAGTCCCACCTCCCCGGTAACCACAGCGACCCGGGCCACACCTCCAGCCCAAACACAGCCCGAGGCCCCGCCAAGGACCAACCCCGATCCCTGGGGACCCCTCCCCGCCCTGCGACCAGCCCCAGCCAGAGACTCAGCCAACGCCCCCATTGTGCAGAGGCGGAGACTGAGGTTGGAAGGTGGAGACTGGGGACCCCCGCAGCCGGCCGAGTCTGAACTTGGACCCTGATCGCCTGCCCAGGGCTCCCTACCATTCCCGGAGCGGCGATCCCTCTCCTCTCCGTGCGCGTGGGGTTTCCACGTGGGAGGGACCGAAAGCAGCGCCATCCCTGCGGATCGGAACCCATCGGCGCTGTCCGCTCTCCCTCCCCATTCCCCCGACCGAGAAACTGAGACGCAGCCCGGCGCCGGGACCCGCCCGGGACCCCCCGCGCGCCCCTCCCGCCTCACCTGCTGGCCCGCGCGCCGGTGGTTTCCTGGAGTTGAGCGGCAAACAAAGGCCTCCAATCCGGGCGCGGGGCGGGGCGGCGACGTTTTGCATAATCCCCGAGGCCGGCCTGTGACGGGCGGGGGCGCAGCCCGGGGGGCGTGGCCTCGGGAAGATCCACCAATCGCAGAGAGACGGCCGCCTGTGGCCCGCCCCCAAGGGTTCGGAAATCGCAGATCTGGGAGCTGAGGCTGCCCCGGGACCCCGCCCGGGCGCAGACGGGAGACCGAGGCCCGCAGTGCAGACCTTGTGCAAGGTCGCACAGAGCCAAGGCGAGGAACAAGTCACAACCTCTCATGGAACAGACTACTTCATAATGGTAATAATAATAATAAACTTCTCTTGCTCACGTGTGTGTCCGGCACTGTTGGAAGCTCCTAACTATGCTCCATCCTCTCCTATGGGGAAGGTAGGTATTGTCATTTAGCCCCCAGGTGTATTTCAGTCTACACCACCATTAGACAAGGGGAGAAACCCAGGGCCGCAGAGAAAGAACTTGCCCAAGGTCCCTCAGTGAGTACAGGACAGAACTCTTCCCTTCTCCACTGAAAGCGCGCCTTGAAGGTGGCGGTGTCAGGTGTCCGACTGGCCTGGGCTCTCGCCCCGGTTCTGCCACTGGCTGCCCCTGAATGTCAGGTAGATGGAATTCCTAACTCCCGCTTCACAGGGTAGCTGAGGGGAATAAATAAAGAAACACAGCACCAGGCCTATAAGAAATAAATCAATGGCACTAATTTTAAAAGCTCCTCCACCAATCCTAATTCACAGGGAGGGTGTGGTGATGGGCGGGGAGACAGGAAGTGACTTGTCCCAAGGTCCCACTTCCAGCTGTCCTGCAGCCCAGTTCTTGTTCCTCTTAGCAGAAAAGCTCCTCCCAGTCCCCAGGTCGTTGGAGACTGCCTACACACATATCCAATGGGAATCATACCAGCAGCTTCTGTTCACTATAAAGGCCTACTCTGTGCCAAGGGCAAACATTTTAGCTAATCCTTACAATAATTTTCAGGTTAGGTTAGTATTATGCTCCCCATTTAAAGATGAGGAAACTGAGGCTCAGAGAGGTTAAGTGACTTGCCCAAGATCACACAGCCAGGAAGTAGTGGAGGTAGAATTTGATGGCAGGTGTCAGACTCTGAGGAGGGGACTCTGAGCTCTGCCTTGTTCTCTGTCCTCGCACTCCCTGTATGGGGCTACTCTGGGCAAGCAGAGAGGGCTCCAGGTGATTCGAAGGCCAGCTCAGCCCTTGCTTGGGGAAACCCAGGCTCAAGCCAAAATCCCGCCCTCTTTCCGCCTCCTCTTTCTTCTAGCAGCAGACCCTGGGACTCTAGCCCTACCTCCCCCTCCAGCTCTGGCAACGTGAGTAAAGATGATATGGCCACAGGTTTGGGTGGCCAGGTAGACCTCTGGCCCCTCCCTCCCTCAGTATTCAAAGCTGCCTTAGCCCGTAGTGTTGGGTCCCTTCACAAGACAACAGGACACGTGCTTGTCCTGGGCGTCATGTTGTGGACCTCAGGCAGCCGTGGGTCCAAATTCGTCCTCTACCACTCGCTAGCTGTGCAGCTCTGGGCAAGCAACTGGACCTTTCTAAGCCCACCTGCAAAGGAACGTTTTTTAGGTTTAAAATTCCACTGGGAGGGGACCCTCACTCCCAATGGGCCACAGCCCGGGAGTCGGGCCCAGGAATTTCAGAAGCGACAGTTCCAGAAACTGTCCTTTTTTCCGCGTACAAACTTGGGACCGCGGGCAGCAGCTGCAGGGGGCTCTCTGTCCCCCGGGGTGGGACGGAGTGGGGAGACGACTGGTTCAAGGCACAGGAAGTCACGACCTGCCCCAGAGCTCAGAGCAGGTCAGTGACAAGCCTGAAATTCACACGGTGAGCCAGTGAGAGACGAAGACCTCTTGGTTCAGAACAGAGGCACAAGACTTGGGTCTGGAAAAGCGGTGGTGTTTCTTCATTCGCCCTCATCCCGACTGCAATCATCCCCCGGGGCCTGACTCTGAGCTGTGGTCCACACGCAGCATCCCAACATCCATCAGGGGCGAGTAGCAGTAGCCCCATTGTATTCACTTCCTGTGGCTGTGTAACAAATTGCCACCAGTTCAGGGCTTAAAACAACACTAATTTGTTCTCTTACAAAGACAGGTCAGAAGTCCAAAATCAGCAGGGCAGGTTCCTTCTGCAGGCTCTGAGGGAGTATCCGTTTCCCTGCCTTTTTCAGCTTTTTCAGCGGCCGCCTGCATTCCTGGGCTCGTGGTCCCTTCCTCCACCTTCAAAGCGCATCACGCCAGCCTCTGCTCCCTGCATCACGACACTTTTTCCTCTTCTGTGTCAGATCTCCCTCTGCCCCCCTCTTCCGAGGACCCTTGTGATGACATGGGGCCCGGCCCAGATAATCCAGGATAACCTCCCCGCCTAAACGCCTTAATCACCTCTGCAAAGTCCCCTTGCCATATAAGGTAACATTCACACCTTCCAGGGATCTGGATATCTTTGGGGGCCATGATTCAGCCTGCCACACCCATTTTCCAGACAGGGAATTGGGCTCAGGAAGTTGAACTCACTTGCCCATGACCGCACAGGGTATGGAGTCTGACGCCAGGAGATCTGGGGCTCCTGTGGCCGGGTGAGGGTTATTCCCTGCAGGCGTATTAGGACTGGGGAGCGATATACGGAGTCCCCTGGGAGGGGCTGGCCTTCAGGGATACGGCTGCTTCAGAGTCAAGTGGAATCCGGGGCTCTGGCCTCAGGTGGTCTCCTTGGGCTGGGGAGGGGACAGGGGCAGCTGAGAGGAAGACGTGGTGCCAGTCTGTGGAATCAACTGCCCCCAGCCCACGTCTGGCAGACCCCTGCACCCAGGGCTGGACAAAGCAGGACCTCTCGAACTCGCCTGCCCCAGAGAACCCCTGGGGATGGAGGAAATGGGCACCGGCTGGCACTGGGGAGCTGCAGCAGACTACAGTTTGCCCCCACCCTCCCCGCCCCCTCCACGTGTTTTTGCTTCTAACACCCACTGCCCTGGGCTCCTGGGACAGCTTAGCCTGTGCGGGGAGAGGGTGGGGAGTGACTGGGCATTCACTGCCTCCCCCAGGCCTTGTCCAAAGACGGACAGCCTGGAAGCCCCGTCCCCTTGCCCTGAGTGGGGACAGCTCTAGGCCTAACTTACACGCCAGTGTCCCCTGTGGGATCAGGCTGCAGCCGCCCTCCCAGGCCTTTGCCTGAAATCCTGCTCTGCTTGGCTTCCCTCCTGACTCTCTCCTCATTTACTGCCCTCCCCGCCGCCCCTTCCTTAGTGAACCATGCGCCTACAAATCCTCATCTCAGAGTCAGGTCCTGGACCCGCCCTAAGATGGGCCACCTCTCCGTGTTGAAACATCCACGCACGTTGTGCATTCTACCCCATAACACACCTGTGTGTTTTAATCAAAAAGCATTCTCTGTAAATAACCTTCAAGTAAGATGTGCCAAGATGCGGGTGCGGCTCAGGGGCCCCTGCACACCTGCTGCCTGTCCCAGATTGAGCTGTGCAGGGGGACCAGGGGAGAGGGGGTGGCGTGTGATGCTCTGGGGCCTCCCTCTGTCCTACCCACCCCTCTCTCCGTGTCGAGTAATCAAAACCCCAGCCACACGGGCAGGCCACACAGCACGCTGCACCCCAACCTTGTTCAGATCTCTTTATTGAAAAATTAAAGTCATAAGCTCTGTATATAAATACACTGACGTCGCTGGTCACCTGCAAGGCCTCTGGGGTAGGCTGGGGGTGCAGTGGGAAGCTGGGGTCCCCAGGGGTGTGGAGAGGGAAATAAATAATAAATACCATGGGGACAAGGAGCTGGGAGGGGGGATCTGAATGGGGGGCGGCTCGGTGCTTATTTGTGGCACTAAGGTCCTGCAAGACGCCCCCCAGCTGGGGGCCATGTCCACGAATCCTTGCGTGACCCACTCCAGATGAAGGCTCTGGCGTCTGGGGATGGGCCGGGTCCTAGCTGGCCAGGGGGCAGCAGTGCCCCATCCAACCCAGAGTAACAGGCCCTGGCAGGCCTCAGGTGCAGTGTCAAGACACAGGTGCTCTGCCCAGCCCTTCCTTTTCCCCATCCCGAAACCCACACTTGTATAGCGCCTGCTGTGTACTGGGCACGGCACCAGATCCTGACCCGACCTCTGTTTGCCCGCCCGGCTCTCTTCTCCCGGTTCTGGTCCAGTGGACCGGGAAGGAGTACGGGGAGATCTTCCTGCCACCCTGGCCATGCAGCCCCAGCCCTCGCAGAGCTTAATCATGCCAGGAGGGAGGAGGACCAGGGCCGGGGGCCAGGCGGCCGTGGGAGGCCCGCGGGCCTTGGCCCCTACAGCATCACGTTGAACTCGGTGACCAGAAAGTCGATGTAGTCCCGCTCCTTGGTCTTGAAGGCCTCTGCGATGAGGCGCGCGGCCTCCCGATGCTCCTTGCCCCGAAGCGTCACCCCATTCACTTCCAGGATCACATGGCCCACCTTGAGCTGCCCAGAGTTGTGGGCCGAGCCACCTCGCTGCAGAGGCGAGACACAGGGCAGGGGGCACAGGGGTGCCTGAGGGCTAGGCCGGCCTGGCTTTGACTCCCACTGGGTCAGGTCCGACACTGCCAACCAGGCAGCTACAGTCTGGGCGTCCATTGCCCGGATTGGGAAAACTGAGGCTCAGCCAGAGCAAAGGTGGTATGAGCCTGGTCTGCCCTGGGGTGCTGGGTCACCTCTGGTGGTGGCAAAACCCTGGGGATGCTAAGAGAGGAGCCTCCCGAGATAGGGAGAGATGGTCTGGCAGGGCCCCTGGGGATGTACCTGAATCGTGACGATCCTCGGCAGGGGCTGGCGGGTGTTGGCGCCCCCCTCGATAGCGATGCCCAGGGTGGCTGCACTTTTCTTCACACGGACCAGGGTGGACGTGGGCTCCAGGAGGCCAGGCTGCGGGTGTGAGGAAGGAGACCAGTGACGGAAGCCTTCTCGGTGGACAGGCCATGACGGGCCCCCGGGTCAACAGGGCTCAGACCCCGCCCCGTGCTGGGAGCCTCCGGGACGCTGGCGCTAAGCTAAGCACTTGGTGTTCTCAGCTATCTAATTGCTACAAAAATCCCTGAGGCCGGGAGGTTGAGGCGCTGGCCCAAGGCTGCCTGGTGGTGGCATCAGGACTTGATCTGGGCCCACCTGCCTCGGCCACCAGCCATGTCAGAACTGAGCTCAAAGATTCTCCAGACCAACCTCTAGCGCCCAGCTTGTCAGTGTCAGTGGGAAGGAAGGATGTAAACCAGGCCTCCAGGCTCGGACACCCACGCCCTCCAGGGATGGGGCTCCCTCCCTCCCCTGTGGTCACTTGTCCAGCTGACCCCGGTCGGGACCTCCTGTTCTCCACCTGGGGCCTGCCTTCCCCTCACCCTCTGCACCCCCTCCTCCTCGCTCACCGGCTTGGGGGCCCCCTCTGTGGTCCTCTCGTTCCGAGGTGGCTCCTTGCTACTCCTGCTCTTGGTGGACGCCATCTGTCTGCCTCGGCCTGGGGCGCTGGCCTCTGCCTCGCCGGCGTCCACACCACTGTCCTCACTCAGGGTCTGCCCGCTGTCCGAGAGCTGGGAGAGTGTGGAGGCTGCTGGGAGGGGGAAACAGGAGGAGAGCAGTGGTTTATACAGCTGGGGTCACAGAGGGCTTCCTGGAGGAGGTGACGGAGCTTCAGGTGGGAAGGCTAGGGGGATCCCCCGGGCAGAGATGTGGGGCTGGAGGGCAGGGAGACTCCCCACCACCCTTCCACTTGCTCTTCCAACCGGGCCTGGCCCCAAGGCCGCCACTTCCAGGATGTCTGCCCTGACTGCCCCTGGCATCATGATTAAAACAGAGGTCAGCAGGCAAACCCAACCCACAGATGTGGGTTGTTTGTTTTTTTTAAACTCAATGCTATCTTTTTCTTTTTTTTTTTGCTGAGGAAGACTGGCCCTGGGCTAACATCTGTGCCCATCTTCCTCTACTTTATATGGGACGCCACCACAGCGTGTCTTGACAAGTGGTGCATAGGTCCACGCCCGGGATCCAAACCTGTGAACCCTGGGCCGCTGAAGTGGAGTGCGGACTTAACCGCTATGCCACCCAGCCGGCCCCAATGCTGTCAATTTTTAATGATGACCAACACATCCAAATTAGGAGGTTTCACATAAAAGTTAAATGTCTAACTTCTTGGAAAAAAAAGGATGGTCTGCCATGCCCGGTCTGTACCCTGCATGACCCCAACCCCAACTGGCCTGAGCTGAGAGGTGGGCACACGCTCTCTGGTTCACCTGTCAAACCTGAGCTGCCTCAACGGCATCACCTCTTAGTTTGAGACACGCTGGAGTCTGGCAGGCAGGGTTTGAATCCCCTCTGGCCAGCTGTGCAATCCTAGGTGAGTTACACAGCCTCTCTGAGCCTCCATGTTCTCGTTCTAACACAGGAGCAATGATGCCTATCCCATGGGGTTATCATAAACACTAACAGACACGATGTACAGAGTGAAGCAGTCAAGAGAACAGACTGGTGCTAGACTGCCTGGCCCACAGTTACTCCCTGTGCCTCAGTTTCTTCCTCTGTAAAATGGGGATGGTAACAGTACTGCCTCCCAGGGCTGCTGGGAGGATGAGATGAGCTACTACATAGGCGAGGCACACCGAGAGGGCAGTACACCCGTCGGCTTTTATTATGGTGTGTCCAGCTCAGCGCCAGGTAGAGGCGGGAGGGATCCGTCTAGACAGCTCAGGTTTCTCTGGCCACATCCTGCCTGCTCGCCCCTTAGTTCCCTCACTAAGCTCCTGAACGCGGGAGCCTGCCTCCTGCATCCTAGTCTGCTCATTGCGTGGCATCCAGCAGGCACTCAGTAAATGTCCCCAGACCTGGCCTGCCACCTTCCCTGGCCACAGCGGGCCCTGGGTACCACTGCAGCCACAAGAGGGCAGCAGAATCCAAGAAAATGTACTCGACCGGCTAACAGGAGGGAGACCAGAGCCTGCGGAAGGAGTGGTGCAAACTCAGCTCTACCCTTCCCTGCGCCTCCTCGGCTGGACGGCCTCTGGAAACTCAGGGGTTCTGGAAGGTCCAGCCTGCACTCTGACCCTGAAGCCCCAAGACCCCACGGGTCCAGAGACTGCAATGCAGTACCCACCTTTCCCGCTGCACTCGCTCCGTGCCAAGCCCTGGGTCAGATCACCGAAGCCACCCCAGCCCTCATGGAGCTCAGTCTTACTGGGGAGACTGGTAGGTGAATGCAGGTCTGGGGGCGCAGGAGGAGGAGCCCGACCCGCACAGCGACCCGGTGGGGGGAAGTCACTGTCTTCTCCGTTCCACGACGGGAAAGCAGGCAGCTTGTCACAGTCACACAGCTGGCAGATGGCAGAGCCAGACTGACACTCGTGTCTCCGACCCCAAAGCCCCTCAATTCGGGTTCCAGACCCTGTTCCCAGGCCACCCTGACCCTGAGCGGGGAAGGCCTGGGCTGGAAGGCCTCTCGCTGGGTGAGCACCTGCTCCCACTCCGGGGGACAGACGGAGACCCCCAAGACCACCCCGGGCGCCCGAGGCCCGGTGTGTCTGCGGCACTCACTGCGCGTCTGAGGCAGCGCCCTGACTTCGTTCACGTCGGGCTCGCTGTCGGGCCGGTGCACCTCCACCATGACGAAGTGCTGGTTTGTGCCCGTCTGGTCCGGGCGGCCGGAGGGCGAGGGTGGCAGCAGGCAGCCCCCCGCCTGCACGGCCTCTGCAGGGGGGCTTTGCAGGTGCGGGGGGGACTGGACCCTCGGGAAGGGGCCGATGGGGTGCTGGTGGACCAGGGCCAGGTGGGCGTCCAGTGGCCTCTTGGAGCCGGGCTTGGGAGGCGAGACGGAGGCGTAGATGGGGGAGGAGGGCGAGTCTTGAGCCGAGGGTGCCTCCGGGGCCGGGGCGGTGCCCGCCGGCGGGCCATGGCTCCGCGGAGCCGAGAAGACGATGCCCGAGTGGGAAGATGCGGAGGAAAGCGGCTTCCTCTGCGGGAGCGAGCGGTGGTCGTGGCCTCGGCCCAGAGGTGGGGGGGCCGGCGGCAGCCCCTCGGAGGAGGATTTGACATCATCCTGCCAAAAGACCCAACAGGAGTAGAAGGAGTCAGAGCCCATGGCGGCTGCACCAGGCGAGCCCGGAGCAGCCGAGTGGGCCCGGCGCGGCTGGGATTCCGTCCCGCTCTGCCGGCCCTCGGCCACGCGGCTCTGAATAATGCAACGCCCAGTGGAAACGTCTCCCAGCGACTCGGCAGCTGATAAGCATCGGGATCCTGGCGGGCGTCTCGGGGGACGGCATCATTACCTTTGGGAACTGAAGTTCTTGGCATCAGCTGGGCCTTGTCACAGGGAACAAGGCTTAGTCAGAGGCAGGAGGCAGAGGATGAAAAAACCAAAAAGGCACTTCTTTGGCTTTTCTTTTTAGGGGGTTGTCATGGCTACTAGAGACGGGAGATGCGATGACAGGACTGGAGGGAGAGAGAATGGATAGGAAGGGGACGGACACAGGGGCTGGGGTGCTGTGTGGCCCTGGGCAAGCCACAGCACCTCTCTGAGTGTGCCTCGGGCAACGGGGGAAAGTGCACCCAGCCAGCAGGGTTGTGGGGATGTGAGGCGCCACGTGTATAACATGTTAGCAAGGTGCCTGCGACCCCGCAGGTCCTTGCTGAGAGGCAGCTATGGAAACCGTCATTCCTAGTCCCTCTCTGCCTGTGCTAGCATCCGATACTTGTACAGCTCTGAAGGCAGTGCAGGCGCCGTGCCAAATGCCTTCCTTAAATTCATCAACTTACCCCTTGCCACAAACTTACGGGGTCGGGACACTATCATTATTCCCATTTTACTGATGGGAAAACCAAGGCACAGAGAGGTTAAGAAACTTGCCCAAAGACACACAGTCGGTGGCAGAGGTGGGATTTGAACCCAGTCAGTCTGGCTCCAGAGCCCAGGCCATTGAACAGTTATTTGGGTCAGAATCACAAGGGGACGCTGCCCAGGCTGCTGATGCGTGTGAGCCACACGGGTGTGAGGTCACGTGTAACTTCCATTTCCAGCGTGGTCGTGCGGCCTCTCTGGAGAGTTCTCTGCACACACTCTTTGTTTCAGTCCTTGCTGTGAGAATGTTCAGATAACACGGCAAAAGTAACACCGACTCAGCCACCTGTCCAACTGCCTAAAACTCCCAGAAGCAGCGGAGAGCCGGAGGGCTGTCCCGGCCCCTGCTGAAGATGGTTGCTGAGGGACAATTGTGTGTTGGCCTGGGGCCTCTGTCCCCTCCCTGCAGCTCTCCCAAGGAGCCAGCCCCCCGGGCCGGGGAGGGAAAACACAATGAAAGGCCCAGAGAGGGTCTTACCAGGGACACATCCGGGAGGGCGTTCACATTGCCCTGGACAGCCTCGCCAGTTTCCTCCAGGTCCAGAGTGTTCTAGAAACAGGAAAGAAAGCAATGTGAGCAGGTACAAACCGAGAGGGAAAAACCAGGTTGCTCTCTAGGACACCAAAATCTACGGGCCCTGGGACTCCTTCACGTGGACTGTTTCTCCCGACGGGCCCCACTCCGTGGGAATGGACTTGACACAGTAAAACAAACGTCAATTTTCCTGTCGGTCACCTTGAAATCAACTTTTCTTTGAGACTTTCCAGGCCTGCCCTGGAGGACCTGGAGATGCTGGGGTGGCCCCGGCCTTGTCAGCCTGGAACGCTATGCCCAGCATGCTCCCCGCCTCCAAAACCCAGGGGTTCTCTACCCCCTGCTCGGGACAGAATCCCAGGAAGGCGTGGAAATGGCCAGATGCAAATGAGAGGTGGATGGGGAAGTCTCTCTCTCTCTTCATTTTAATGGTTTTAATCGTGAGGGGGTGGTTAAGGCTTAAATGGACCTTATTTTGCAAAAACGCCCATTTCTTCCCTCTGCCCTAACTCACCAGAAGCAGCCTAGTGCTCCCTCAAGTGACGCTGAGCTGCCATAAGGCCACCTCCAGGCCACCCTGGGAGAGCCCAGGATGCAGCGATCAATACTGAGCAGTCTCAAGGCTCCTGGGGACGCAGAGGAGGTGAGACACCACCCCTGCCTTCAGCAGCTTAGAGACCCTTGGGTCAACACACACAAGCAAGGAGGAGACTGTGCGCAGAGTCAGGAAACACAGGCATAGAATGCAGCTGGGGAGGGGTTATCAAGGAAGGCTCCCTGGAGGAGGGAGCACAGCTTAAAGCTGAGTCTTGTGGGTGAGCTGGGCATAGGCGGGAACGATGGGTGTTTCAGAGGGGAGAGTGTGCATAAAGCAGGAAGGACAGAGGATGTTTGAGAATCTTCTAGAGGTTCCACAAGAGTCAAGTGTGGAGCTGCTTGGCTCTGAGCCTGAGGGCAGTGGGTTGCCATGGAGACGTGGTCAGGTTTGCCATCTATGAAGAGCGCCTTGGCTCAGTCCCTCTCCACCCACAGAGAACAACGCAGGCATGTCAGGGCCTTCACACTGGCTGTTCCCTCTGCCTGGAATATCCTTCCCCTAGGCTAGCCACAAGGCATGCTCACTTCCTTCAAGACCTTACTCAAATGTCACCTCCTCCAAGAGGTCTACCCTGACAACCCCACCTAAAATCACAACCCCTATCCCCCACCCTGCTTTATGTTTCTCCTTTGCCCTGATCACTGTTCCTTGCCCAGTGGCCAGGATGTGATCCTTGAAACGTAAGTCACATAACGTCTCTCCCCAGCTCATAACCCTCCAGGGCCTTTCCATTTTACTAGGAGGAAATTCCAAACTCTGACCTCATTGTGCCTAGTGACCTGCCCTTCCTTGCTACTCCTCTGACAGGATGGGACTGTTCCTGCCGCAGGGCCTTTGCACTCACTACTCTCTCTGCCCATAGTGCATTCCTGGTGCACTCTCTCACTTCATGTAGTTCTGACCTCAGCGGGGCCTTCCCAAACCAGCCCTAAAACAGCATCCCTCCCCATACCCCACACCACCTCTGTCTCACCCCTGACCCTGCTTCAGTTTTCTGTGTAAGATTTATCACTACCTGATGTTACTATCGATTTGTTTATTGTCTGTCTCTCCCACTAGGATAAAAACTCCTCAAAGGCAGGACCTGTACTATCTGGTCCCTGCTCTATCCTCAGTGTTCAGGATAGGGGCTGCCTGATAAATATTTACTCAGCAAATTAATGAGTCCGGGAAAGAATCTATGGGTGACTGAATTAATCGATCCCTCTGGCCGTCACGGGGAGGAGGCCTGGGCAGGCAGAGAATCGAGCTAGGCGGCTACTGCAGGTCATCCTGGAGAGCAGTCATGGGGGCCGGAAGGAGGGTGAAAGCAGCGGTGGGGGGGGAAGGAGCCCCCGATTCCACACCCCCAGGGCAGAGGCCGCCGGGTCACTGCCCACTGATCCCCATCCGGAACGATCCTCCTGAAGCCTTGAGCATTCTGGGCAGGCAAATGGAGCATGATCACGAAGGCCAGTCACGGGGACCCACCAACCCACCAGATGCTCAGCCCTCGGGCTCTGAGCCTGCCCCATGCGGGCTCCTCATCTGGTCCCGTGATGCCTCTGGGCAATGTCCAGCCAGGACAGCTGCCCCGTTTTACCAAGAAAGCTGAGGCGTATGTGCAGACCTGGCTTCCCGACCTTCCCCCGCCTCCCGGGAAGATGCTGCTGACAGCCTCGTGATGCGAGGACAGGGGGGATCCTCGGGGAGCGGGGGTGATGGGGTTACTCTCGCACCCACTGACTAGCGGCCCCAGTTCTGGCTTCTCTGAGATCACACCCAGCTATGCCACTTCCAGCTGAGGGACGGTGGGCAAATCACTGAGCCGCTCTGTGCCTCAGTTTCCTCATCTGCAAAATGGGGTCACAGCAGTCCCTCCCTCATGGGGCTGATGTATTAACACCTAAAAGATGCTCAGAACAGAGCCTGGCACAGTGTACGAGGGGAAGGGACTGTTATACACATCGGAGGCCTGGGACCTTGCAAATGAGCCCCAGCAACCGAATGGCTGCAAAAGTGCCCTGGGCAGTGTAGACACTTGGATGGAAGGAAAGGGCAGTCCTCCCACACCCTCCTCCAAAACCACAAGTCCAGTGCTCCCTGGAGACAGTCCAGCTGGGCGACGTGGACCATCCAGAGCTAAGGTGACGGGCCAGGCAGGGCTGGGTACGTGCACGGATGTCCCCAGACTTGGCGGTCACAGCCCTGGCCTCAGCGGGGGGCACCGAGAGGGGTCAGAGGCCGGGACGTGTCTACACTGAAGACAAGAGGGGCCTCCAGCACACGGAGCCACTGCCACCTGCCCCAGAAACTCCATCTGCAGGCACCCTGGGCTCAGACGACTGTCCACGGTGGGGCCAGAGTCACAGGATTCTGTCTTGTTCTGGAACATCAGAAGCTTTGAGCATTCACTTAGTCACTCAACAAACATTTATCAGGCAGCCTTGACTTACGAGGAAAGCTCACGGGGTAAGAAGATGAGCAGGTCACTTGTCCTCAACACCCAGCAGAGGGCCATGCACACAGCAGCTGCCAGCAAACTCTTGTTCCGAATCCCTGATGGGGCCGGCAGTAGTAACAGGGCCACGGGAGGGGGAAAGAAGGATCCAGAACCTGACAACACGAGCACGTCTTTGCCGGGCACCACAGGAGGGCGTGCCTTTCTCTCAGAAAGAAGGCTATCACAGAACTACACACTGTGGAGGACCTACCGGGTACCAGGCCCCCACTGGGCGTTTCACTTACATGATCTCCTGTGATTCTCCCAATGACCTGGCGAGGCAGGCGCTAGGATTCCCTCAGCTCACATCTTTCACATTTAAGCTCAGAGAGGGATGTGACTTGTCCGGGGCCACACAGCCGTTCTACAGATCAGGTTTCTCACCCAGGTTGGGGTGACCTAGCCCGACCCCAGAATTGGACATGGCCCTGATACTGTAGGAACCAGAGGGCCCAGGAGAACCCTCTCTGAATCAAGAGAGAAGAAAGCCACCGTGGGGCCTGGCCTCGGCCATTCTCTGCTCTCAGTGGCGGCCTGGAGCCGAGAGGGAAGGCAGGGGTGGAGGGCGGGGAGGGTGAGCGTGGAGTGGGACGAACACCGGCCTGAGGGAGGCCTGAAGTGGAGCAAACGGCAGACGGGTCCGAGCCCTGCCCTGCCTGACTCCATCTGCTGAATCCAGACGCTCAGGAGCCCCGGGTCCCCGAGCCACGCTCCTCGTGCATCTGAAATAGCTGCAGACAGCAGGCTAAGAACCCGGGGGATGCGTCAGCAGAAACGCCTCGGAACAGGCTTCGGGAGGAGATCAAGGTCAGAGCTCACGCAGGAGCCGGCCTGCGTGTCCTGGCCTCCCCTCTGCCCCGCCACACACGCTAGCTGCTTGGGGCTCCCCTTCTCCTGCCCCCACTGAGGCCAGAGCCCAGCGGAGGGTTTAGACCTAGTGGCTCAATTAATCTTGCCACAGGGACCCTCCATCCATTCTACAGCTGAGGTGACCGAGGTTCAGAGAGGGAAGGCCACCTGCCCAAGATCACACAGCAAGGAGGGGCCAGGACGCTGAATCCTATTCAAGGTCTAACTCTTATCCAGTGCTTGCCAGGGGAGCCAGGATGCCCTCAGGACCCGCTGCCGTTGCTCCCTTTCCTCTTTCCTCCTCAAATCTGTGGCGGTTCAGAAAATCCCCTCCCTCTCAGAGAAAAAAACTGCTTTTTGTCTGAGTTGGCGCAATCAGGGCCCGGGTTCCGCGGGAGTCTGGGCTGAGGGAACTGTGGGGCCGAAGCGAAATGATGGGAGGCAATCACCCATGCCGACCTCCGCCAGCTGGACTCGTGGTCCTGGAGATGGAGGCTGGGAAGGCCTCCTGCGGCCCAGGAGCCACCTCAGCTAATGAACAGAGCCCTCCCCTCTCTCCAGCCCAGTTCCCGGCTTTCTCTGCCACGTCCCCTCTTTATGATGAGAGGGCTCCTACACAAAGGTGCTATTTTCAGCTCTTTGTTCTTTTTGTTTCTTTACTCCGATGTCAGGACAACAGGCTCTCCCCACCTCCGCCCCAAAATGCACCAGAGGCCTGAGGCTGGGGGGCGGGGCATTCCCCCTTCTCTTTTGGGAAAACTGAGGCATGGAGTCACAAAGGCTTCTGGAAGGTCACCAGTGAGGGCCGAGATTTCTGCCCCAGGGGCTGCTGAGAGAAGGCAAGAGGAGGACACAGAGAGAGAGAGAGAGGAGAGAAACCTGAGAGGGAGGAAGGAAAATAAGAGAGAAAAGAGGGAAGGGGCAGGATTTGGAGAAAAGATCGAGAAGGGGAGAGCGAAGGGAGAAGGAGAGGCAGGAAAACTGAGGGAAGATCGAGGCGAGGCGGCACAGCCAGAGCTGGGGAGAGGAGCCTGTCACCCCAGGAAGGATGGGGTGGTGGGAGCCGGGTAGAGCCAGACAGTCCTG